GGAACATTTTACGCAAGCACACAGCTTTTAATCGAGAAAGTTTGAAACGGATTTATTCTGACAGTTATACAGCTTACAAATGGACTGATCATTTAGATCAGACTTGATCTATTTTTCTGAACATGACATAAATACATTGTGACTAATGTGTGATGTTTGATCTTGACTCTGTAATGTTAATTTCAGTAGTGCACAAGTAGCTCTTCGAGTTGAACTACAACACGCATAAACCTCCGGCCGTTATGTACCGTTGATCATCTGCGTTGAGTAGACACTTTTTTCCTGGTAGTACGCAAGTGAACCAGTCAGATTCTTGGAACGGGTACTTCGTTCCTGGTCGCGCGCCAGGAAGCCAGTTAGCTGTCAGTATTATGGCCGTTTCTTATTGGTAGTGTGTTTCTACCGTATCAGCAACGTAAAACTGCGGAATGCGAGATATGGCTACCCATGTTGGCGCGCTTTTGTCAATTTAGACGAAGAGAACTGTTGCTTAATTTCCTGCATATGCATTCTAAATAAGGATATAAAGTGGTCTCAAACGTCCAGAACCTTGTACAATGCATAGTTGCACAAAGTAGATCTGACGAACTGAGCCGTCCTACGATTAGCTGGCTACTCATCAACGGACGATTAAACCACACAAAAATCACTAATCATTCACTCTGACAGTTGTGGCATCGAAGTGTCTACAGTATAATTCCCTGCAACATCCTGATTGTTCATGTTGCATAAAACCATTGCAAAGCTACATACTCTCTTTCTGTATACGATATGAATTTGTAGACATGAAACGACCACTTACTGAGAGATTAAGAGCCTTTGCACCGAGTAAAATCACCTTTCGTGAAGACACAAAATCAGGAGAGAATTCCACCGTCTCGGTTTGCATCGATCGTCAAGCCATTAACGATTAAATATTTGGTCGCGATGGCACAGTGGTAACGAGGTTTCTAGAGGCTGATGTGCCAGATTCGAGTCCCGAGAAACGACGAAACTTTCCTTTGCCGCTAGTTCTCTTGAGCAAGCTATTTAACCATGTTGCATCAGTTCAACGAACAGGTAGCAAATCTTTGATTCCTTTACAAAAATGGAAAGCATGGCATTTTGATGCCGTCATATCAGAACGGGTGAGACATAGACCTATGCTCATGCTGTCCGACAGAGGATTTATTGTGGCTGCATTTCGCCTCGATTCATCTGAGAGCTGACTATTGTGATGATCAGCAAAAGAAGGAACACCAAACAATTATGCCTTCTCGGTAGTGGTAGTTAGCTGTCTAACTGAATACTAGCCTATTTCGAATACTGCTTGTTTCTTCGAGTCAAAGAGGCGGCAACTTCGGACACTGCCTCTAACGCTTCCGATTCTGTCACCCTTGACCGGGCTTCGCCAGAACCGCACTTGAGTCTGAAACAGAGTCCGTCCAGGCATTTCGCTTGGGCCATCCCTGACCGTCCCAGAGGTCTTAGGCAAATCGGTATCGGTTAAGCAAATAATAGCTGCTTCGACTTCCATTCTGGAAGCATTCCCAAGAGGTTCTCAAACCATCTCCGCTGTGACCCAAAATCTCGAGAAGCAGCGGCAGTACACCGACCCTTTCTCAGATCTCTGAACTTCGGTTCATGTCCAGATGCGTAGGCCCAACGATTCGCCTCAGAAACCCCATTTCAATTGTACACCGAATCGAAGTTTTCAGTCACGGCCCACGACCCATGACCATAGTTAGCCATCGGGATGAAAATCAAGGTGAACACGGATCTTAGTCGTCAGACTCAGTTTTACGTCACTCACGCCGGGTCGGGAAGGTTCACAAGTCAGAACTCCGCAGCCCACCCCAATTCACTGTCGAAGTTTTGTGCGCATTTTCCATTGCCAATAAAAGTAAGCCCAGAAGTACTTAAGCTTCTCCAACTGTTCCACTGATTCACCGTAAACTTCTGGAGCGAATACGAGAGGGCGAGGAGGAAGCCCTAGGCATCTGGTGTCAGGCAC